TATATAAATGTATGCAAAAAAATATGGTTCTAGTACATAATTATATATTTTATCAAATAAAGGATCCCACGATGCTATGCTATGAGCACATGAATATAGTAGATATATTGATTTAAAAATTGATATTTTCGTTAGTCAAAATCTTTGCATAAAATTAATATTAATCGGGATTATCAAAACTTATTAAGAACTTCTGAAATCGTCCCAGGTTTACACACTACATAAAAAGGGGTAAATAGTTGCGGCTGTTGATGGCATTCAGGCTGTTTTTTGTAGCAACATTGTCATAGTTAGTTTTAGGTAATCATCAATTGTATCTTAGTTTTCATTATGGAACCATCAATTATTGTGAAAATTATTAGTGAACAAATGTTTAAGTGAAGCCACTTATTTTCCTACATTCTTTCTTCTAACTGCATTTTTATTTTAAAGCATAGTGTGTCTGTAGTGTGAGTATTAATAATTGCGAATAAAAGGAAACGGAAACAAGGAATTAATGAACAAGCTGGTAACGCGGCGTAGTGCTGATGAAAACTGCGAGGCAATCAGCAACACTTGTAGACAGAGACAGAACTCAGTGGAGTCTGCGGTTCTAAAAAGGTTTTCATCATATCCCTATAACAAGTTAATATGTACTAAATCTATTTACAAAAAATGTTTCTGCCAATCGAAGTTTCTCACCCCGATTGATATACTCTTGTTGTGTGTTGTAAAACACCTTGTATATACAACGGCATGGTTTCGTTGATGGCTGGTTCAAAATTTCGAATTTAGTGTATAAAACACAATACGTTTTTGCTGCCCTTGGTGGTGGAAGTAAGGTTGATGTAATATACACGATCTCTAAAACCTTTGATAGACTCCACTGTATATTGTTAAAACATTTAAAAAACTCAACAACGTAGTTCGCTGTAGTGGTCCAGTTAAATTAATTCCTTCATATCTATGTGATCGATCCCAGTATGTGCAATACCGTGATTTATTAAATATAATACTTTCTTTCAGATATCAAGGGTTCCTCAAGGGTCCACACTTGGACCTCTTCTATTAGTTATGTTTATCAATGATAATATAAATACCTTTATACGTTGACAATGTAAAAGTATTTTGTCACATTAAGTCTATTTTGGTCTGTGAAAATCATCAAATTAATATTTCCTCACTTAATAAACTGGTGCTACAAAAACAACGCAGCTCTTAATATTACCAAGTGCAACGTCACTCAAGAGACCTGACAATATTAATGGCTTAGTTATCATCTCTCAGCTTAGTTTTTGTCAGCATCTATGTTATTCCTTAGCTGCTGCATATCAGTATTTGCTTTACGAAACTCAAGCAAGTTTAAGAATCAATCTACATTACTATTATTATTTACAATATTTGTGAGATCTTCTTAAATATTCCGCAATTTTTTTGGATGGGATGGAATACTCCACAGGAATTATTGTAGTACTGCCTTGTATTATTTTAATAATTTAATATTGACGTTTATACCATATTTTGTTTTTTGTTTTTTTTTTGTATTCTAAGGATTGTACCATAATTATGCGCTGTTTATATTTTCTTATGCTTTTTGTGCCTATATATATTAAACATATTTTTATGTTGTTTTTTGTAGCACCTTGTCTGCACAATTGTTTTACAGTCACATTTTGTATATTACTACTTACCCTGTAGGTGGGTTTTAAGAGCACATAAATAAATAAAGCTTATTTGACATCGTTTAAAAAGATTTACGTTTGCATGAACATTTCTTTCTTATTTTTAGTCATAGAACCACATGTACAATTTCACCTGCAACACCATGTAGAGTTGATAAACTTTATAAAGAGGTTATTTGAGGACTACATATATTATGCAATTTATGCGTAAACGCCAATAATTTAAGGTTTTGTAAACCATTTTCATTTATATAAATGTAGAACGTTTCGAAACGTCACTCTTTATGTAATGAATAATACAGAGATAACACTTACGAAAATTAGTATCTATAAAAATTGTCTAATACCCAGACCTGTTAAAATTTATGAATCAACTTTAAAGAAGAAGCGGTCAGTTTGTCAGTCGTACAACTTTCTCTATTAGCAATGATATTCAGTATTCAAGGTCGGTTATGTAATCATTATCTAACGTGGGAAAACTGTTGGGACATGATTTAACAACCTCTCTGTCCATCCTCCTGCCTTTTCAATGGAAATTTTATTGTAACGCAGAGTTGCGGTGCTGCCAAAAAAATAAACATCTCTGAACACATTCTTTTGAAATATTTACTTCCTTAATGAACACGAAACGTATAAGAGATTTTATTTTAATGGCTTTAGAAACAAATTGAAAATGAAACTCATTTATGTTTTTATGGTGCATAAAGAAATAAGAAGAGAAAACCTAATTCTAAGCGTTGCTGTGATGCTGACATACAATAACCTGATAGTGTTCGAACGTATGCAAATATGAATATGATTATCGATTATATTATACAGAGCCTTGAATATTTAGGTTAATATTATTTTTTATGGGTAGGAATTGAATGGAAATTTATGGCACTTCATTTAATCGCCACCAAACAGTTACGCAATTGTTTTATTAAAAACATTCTTATGTTGGATGTACAAAAGATAATGTAAAAAGATAATGTTTAAATAAATAATTATTCACTTGTAAGGTTTTATCTTCACAAAAACTTTAATGCTTTTCATAATTGTTCATCCATGTAATGGTTTGGAGAATTTTTTTCTTTTATTTTTTTATGAACGTGTCATATATACACAAAGTTTTTAAAAATATTAACGGTGTATATAACTATACTAATAACAAATAAAATTATATAATACACTTTATTTACACTGCCGGAAAAAATTAAGGGAACTAAAATATTTCAAAAATTTTTTAGTGATTTTTGAAAGACTGTATATCAGTGAAAAATGATCCTGTCGAGGTAAAAAAAAAGTTTTGATAGAATTGTGGGAAAAGTCGAGAAAAATTCTCCTTTTTCATTTTGACAATGATTAGATAATGTTTGAGAACAATACATATTACGTTCTTTAACTATTTCCAAAACTTTGATTATCAATTTTTGTAAACTAATGGTAGATTTTCTAAAAATCCGTAAAATTAATTTTTTTTGCACTTTTTTCAAATTAATGTCAAGGATGAAAAAAATATTTTCTAAAACATAACAGCTCCTTGTAGAGAATTTATTTAAGTTTTCAAAACAGCCCTTGGATCTACTGTGCAATAATTTTTTTGCCGAGATATCGGTGACTAAAGGCAAAATTGTCATTTTTCATTCAGCCATCAATATCTCGGTAGCCAATAGTCCTACGGAGACCTTTTGAAAAGCAAATAGAAGCTGATTAAACAAACTAACTGATCACTACATTGATTGAACTCAAAGTCCGTGGACAGTCCAAATTTCAAATTTTTAGGTAGGTATTTCTTTTGATTTCTCGATAATTATAGTAAAAAAAAATATGTCAAAAGATCTTGAAACTTCAAGCTTCAAAACATTTTTTTAACTTGACACGTCCATTTTTCACAGAGATACAGATCACAAAAAAATTTATGAAATAAATGTCCCTTTAATTTTTTCCAGTATTGTATAATAAACAAAATCTATTTTAAAGGTGGACCTTCCCATTTGTTAATATTAACTTTCAAGTTGAAGACGACTATAATTGTACACAAATATGTACCATAGAAAATAATTGAAACCCTTTTCAGCAATTAAATGTGTTTCTGTTTCGTGATGCATAAAAATACCGACTCGGATTACGTGTATTATAAAATATTCTAAATATCTATTAATAGTAGAGAAAGGACAAACAAGCTAGAATAACAGTCAGATATGTGAAAGACGAGACTTCATTCGTCTACTAGTTACTATAATCCATTCGTCCTTTGTCTGTAGAATTAACATTTTAATATGTTTTAAATTTTATGTCTTTGGAATGTATTTGACCATACCCAATAAATATAACTAACTAACCTTGGATGTCTCCTTTAAAAAAATTGTTAGCAAGTATAAATAATGAATTTATGGAAAGTTGCGTCTAATTTCTGTTGCTTTAACCCATACGGTCTGTTTTTAGGATGAATAATTATTGACTGTTAAGTGGAATAATAAATATGATTAAGTACCACAACTCGTATTGATATTAGGGCAAATACTTCTTTAATAAACATTTAAAATAATCCAATATTGTAATGGACAAGGTCGCAAATCACTTCATATCAAAAAAGGGTTACTTAGACATTAAAAAGTCCTTTGGCCTAGCGGCACCATTATTTTTTTCGTGTCTTTAAATGTCGATGCCATCGAATGATGTAATTGGCTTTATAGTTGTAAAATTGCCATGAAATTTAAACTACATTTGAAAATATGCGATTATTTTTCATAGAAATATGGAAAGTTCAAATATCGAAAACGTTTTACTCCTTGAGACAAGAAATGGGGTATAACGAAACATTTAATTGTTGTTTCACAGGTTGTGAAAATTATGTTTTCATTCATTTTCACAACCTGTGAATTAAATGTATTTTTATAGTTCACAGCAGTCTATTTTAGGTTACAATGAAGTAAGATTTCATTGAAACAATTGTACCATTCATGTTTGGATTAAATTTGATAGCACTGGGATAGCAAACAAGCTTCAATTTAACTGAAAATTTCAATATATATCTACACGTATGCTTATACATGCCACCACAATTCTAAAAGTAATAGATCTGTCCTAATTCAAATGGCTTAAGGTTTTAAAGATTATTGCACTGACACGAAATATACTAAATTTCTTGACATTTGGAAGCCACATTATGTATTCCCAATGATGCCAATGCCCTTTATATTTAACAGCAGATCGTAACGTACAGTTATGTTCATTATTATACCCGTCCGTTATTTATAACGCAGAAAACTTTCGCTGTTTAATGTCACACTTAACACCACAAAACATTCCTGCATAATGTGGAATTGCATCAGTGATTTGAAGTAAATCCGAATGTAGTTTTAATTTTTTTTATTATTCAAAGTCTTTAACAAAAATTTAATCATAAATCATTTTATTTCCTAGGTACTTAAGGCGCTACTGGAAGGTGGGCGCCAACGGGTTGGAAACCGTTTTCGTCGGCGATGTATCTTACTTCATATCGTACACCATCAGGGCCGGTGTAGGCAAATTGTCCTTGAGCGGCGATGCTTTCGTCCTCCCTTCCCGCGTTTTGTACCTGGCCGCTTTCTTGGGCAGAGATTCCGTTGCTCGTGTCGTATCTGCAACAAGATTTAATTGAGTTCGGATGGAGTTATTAAGAGAGTTAAAACTTACGCGAAGTTGTAACCGTCAATGCCGATATTGTCACTGACGTATCTGGTTACTACTGCATCCGCATCTCTCTGGGGGGCAGCTAGGGCCACGGAGATTAGGACAGCGAGGGCAATGATCTGGAAATCAATACCATTTGAAAAAAAAAATGAATAAACAGTCACATATCTGAGAAAGAAATTAGAATATGCGTAATAAAGTTTAATAAAGCAAGTTAATTCTCAAATTTTCTGCATCTATCTTCATCAGTTTCCAATCCTGATGTTGAGCCATCTTCAGGGATTAAGAAGAATAAGGTAGAAATTATATAAGTGAACTTCTATCGCTTTCCCATATTAGATTATTAGATTACGAGACATGTATTAAAAAATTTAACTGAAGAAGTAAAGTTATTAACAAAAACCCTCGATACAAAAAACTGGCATTAAAATTTCAACAAAAACAGTTAATGTTAACTTGTACTCTAGCAATTAAAAATAGTTTCGGATTTCCAAAGCGTGAAGAAACTAATTTCCATACGGATAAACTTATTAATTATATAACATCCACGTTTATGTCACTTGGTCACTCACCACTTTCATTTTTATTATGTTTTTGATTCACTGATGGTGATAACGAAGACGAACTGAATTTGTGGTGGAGATTCACGCTTTTATATGCCTGTGATTAACCCAACTATTCCAACACCAACGCATCGTGATGGAGATGACATTTACCCGCACCATCTTCGCATATTTTTTGACATTGTGCTCTAAATATTCATATATGCTGTCAAGCTTCCGCCTAGGGATACCTGTGAGGACGTCAGGTTTTCACCAGATTTTTTAACAGACAATTTAAAAGTATGGTTTTCTGAATTTTGTAGATTATGATATACACTGAGAATGTCGCTAGTTATATTTTATTGTTCAATCTTTCCCGGAAGTTAAGAAAATGCGCGAAACGTGTAAATATGCAGTGTTGTGTGAGAAATGAGTTTTGTTGCTCGTTTATGTCAAAAAATGTTGGTAATGCTTTTAAATACATATGTTAACTCTACAATATATTTATTATGAAATATGTAATATTTGAAAGAGCAACTATTATTTTAAAATGGTGTGACTTAGCTAGGGAAATAAGAATTAATTAATAAAAAGGTAGAGTATACACTCATTCCCAAAACAAAAGAAACGTGGAATAAATTACAGCGATATCAAAACAAGTTTTGTGACAATTGCTATTAAGAGTTGTTTAATTTATGGCTATATTTTTGACTTATTATAGATATTTCCCTATTTTATTTTAAACATTTTTTGATATGAATTTAGAATAATTAAAAAAAAATATTTTGAATAATTTAAATACCCAAAATCATAGTTAGCTATATTTTTGACCTATTATAGATATCTCCCTATTTTATTTTAAACATTATTTGATATGAATTTAGAATAATTTAAAAAAATTGTTTGAATTATTTAAATACCCAAAATCATAGTTTTAGATATTAATTTCACACTTTATAACAAAAAGTTAAAAACGAATTAAGGTGACCATATCCCTGTCTGAGAAATCGTCAAATTTCGTCGTTTTTAGGTACTGAAATCTTGAAAAGTAAAACGTGTACAATAAAAGTAAGCACAAATCCTTGATGTTCTGTTTATTCATTGTTACTATTTAAATTTACTCAAATAAAATAATAACTAAAAAAGGAAGTTGTAAAACATGCGTTTGCTGTTATCCTAATCCCACATTTTAAGAATTATTTTCACGTAGGTACTTATAAATAAAAGTATGTAAACAATTTTATATGTAGGACTAAGTAAGTAAATGTTATAAGAATATTTACATGTGGAGTTACAATATATAAAAAAGTTTATATTTTTGTAGATTTCAGTACCTAAAATCTTGATGGTTTGATCGTTTTTTGCACCTGTTTATTTGTTTTACTGCGGCGTCTTTGAAAATACACAAATGGCATGACATAACATTCCACCTATTATTTGATAAGCTTTAGATTATTCAGTTATTAAATGTTTGAAATTATTTGTCTTTGTGGAAAACACTATTTAAAGAATATGGCGACCTTAACAGCTATTATTATAAACGCAGCAAAAAAATTGAAAGAGCAGAAAAATTTCCAAGTTTTTTTAGTGATTTTTGAGGGTGTAACTTCGTGATAATGGTTGTATTGACAATTTTTTTTTTAAATACTGCACATGGGCTCAGAATTTTTTTTTGTCTCAATCAATGCCAGAGTTATTTAGCCTGATTCATCAGCTTCAATTTTGTTTTTATTTCCTGTAAGATTATTTCTGATTGATATATTAGCTACTGAGTTCATTTTTTTATCATCGATATTTCATAAACTAATGTACAAATGATTAGGACTTAGTGCACGTACAGAGTTTAACAGAGCCGGCCCAGAGGTCATTGGCCTTCACAGCTGACTCGCGTTTTGAACTATTCAGTTATTTACGGAACCTTGTAGTAGTTGGTATAGCATCCATACCTTTCTTTTTTACATCTGCTATAAATAATAACATAATTATATAAATTAACAACTAAGTTGAGGGGGAAAAGTGGAGTAAAATACCAAAAAAGAAAAGAAATAGACGGGAATTATTTCAAATGTGGTTTGACAGTGATCCCGAAGGTTACAGGAACATACGTAGTAAAAGAAATGAGCTGTTTTGTACTGTGTATGAACGCATTATAAATTCTTGTTACAAAACTAAAGTCACAAGACAGTTGAAGAGCCATGCCTTGTCCAGCGCTGAAGACTGTGTATTTTTCTGTGAATTTACAGACGCCTTTCTTTCAAGCAATATTCCATTAAACAAACTAGAGAACCCCTAATTCCGTAATTCCGTAAATTGGAATCACATAGACTATCCCTAAATGAACAATTTGATATAATGGATGATGTACAAAAAATATATACGATGCCAATAATATAGGCCCAGTCTGCAGTACGATAAAAGAAAAAATGCTAAGAGTGTTGGAAAAAAAACAGGATACACCATTTTGGAAAACATATTTAAAGTTTTATCTGGTACATATCAGGAGTTACCAGCAAATACATTCATATATAGGTCATGCCTCAACAATTTCTCATACTGTCCATTGTCAACAGTAGACGTTGAACGGTCATTTCCCCTACACAAGTTAATATTAAGTGATAAAGGTAGCCATTTCACTAAAGAAAACTTAGAAAAGCACGTAGTAATATGTTTTAACTCCTTCCAATACGCCACGGAAGCCTTGTCTCAACACTAAGATTTATCAGGTAAATGCTGCCATTTAAATTTAAATAGATATTTTATCCTCTACTTAGCCTTGCTCTTTTAGAAAACTAAATCAATCCTCTTTAAGGGCCTTTTGGTATGTTTGAGAGAAAAAAAAAATACTTAAAAGTTGCACTGTTTCAAATTAACGCCGAGTACATAAATATATAAAAAAATGTCTCAAACATTCCAAAAGGCCCTTGCAGAGGGTTGATTCAGGTTCCTAAATTCCATCCTTCGTTCGCTGTACGATTATTAGTTCAAGTATAGAAAATAAAAAAAAAAACAAATTGAAGCTGATGGACCAGGTTTAAAAGACCCTGGTATTGATTAAGCAAAAAAATATTTCTCTGAGCAGTTTTGAAAAAATACAAATTTCTGCCTTACATTATTTCTTTTGATTGCGCCAAGAGTGTTGCTCAAATTGTCCATCTCAAGATTTCAAAACCAGAATCTTCAAGCTTTTTTTTCTTGATACGACCATTATTCATGACGTTACTCTTTCAAAAATATTTGGATATTTTTCTGCTCCTTTCATTTTTTGCAGTGTATACTTTCCTGTAAATGTATTAAACTAATTAAAATAAACTCAAAAGTGAAAAAAAAATGTCAAATGAAGCTAAACAATGTTCATCGATACCAGAGATCTAGATATTCAAGGGATATTTAACCCCAGAAACAACTACTGTATGAGCAGGAGGCTCGAATTAGTATTGAATTGAATTTAGAAAGAAATTTTATAAGAAACACAAATATGGGTTAGGTAAAAAAAATCACATTAAATCTGGTCATATTTAATACTTTTGATACTGTTGTTTCAAAATATATTGTTTTTTCTAAAACTTCAGTGTTTTCTGTACAGAATTTTTTTCTGTTAATAAAACAGTCCTAAAAAAGCGTAGAAGAAAATAAATATGTTTGTAGTAGCTGTTTTTATGCGCTAGGCTCTGTCAAGAGGAAATAAAAATTTGTCTTTTTAGCTTAAGCATACTAAATATTTTTTTGTGTTAATTAATAGATATTATCGCTTTCTTAATTTTAAATGAATTCTTTGACCATGAATCGTAGTCCTAATGTAGTGAAACAAAAGATATTCATCAGCTGCTAATAAAACTTTTAACAGCGAAATACCTTTAATTTGTTAAAGCTGAAATTAAATAATTGCACACAAAATTCACTAATTAATTATTAAGTCTTTTAGGAAATAATATAACGAAAATTTTAATTTGATAATTACTAATGTCATAAGTTTTATATCATAATGAATTTATTATTTCGTATTAAAATAGTAATTAGTATTTTACAGCAATACTATCAGAGGTCGAATTAAACAACTTCTATTTCATCATAGCGGCATTAAATTAGTTTGTTTAAATATCAACTTCCTTGTACCCAAAGAATAATAGATTTTATAATATGACGTTACCTACTTAATAACGTTTAATTAAAAACAAGTGAAATTATTTCATTAGACTTTCTAAACTGATAAGTTTTTTTTCAAAAATACAATCATTATACATAATTATACAGGGTATTTCCTGAGTAATCTAAATTATTTCATAGGATGATTCTTCAAATCATTTTATGAAAAAAGTTTGCATTAACATAAGGTCAAAAACCAGGGGCATGCTTGTTGGGAATAATTTTGAAAAATTATTATGCATATTTTTAAACTCGTTTCTTACATAAATGTCTCTCAACAATTTTTTATTTGAGGCCCAATTCTGAAGAAAGTGTATTATTCATTTATCGGTCATACATTATTGTATTATATTCAATAAAATAGCATTTTCTTTTCAGTCTAATCGTTTAAAGTGCAAGAAAAAGAAAACAGTCCGTTATTGCGATATTAAAAAAAAAAATAAAATAAATTAAACGCCATGTATTTTGGAAACGAAATATTTTTGAGTAAATGTTAGTATAAACTTTTTTTCATAAACTGACGTGAAGATTCATCCTGTGGAATATTTCGGAGTACTTAGGGAATACTGATTTAAAATGCAATTTTATAGACCTTTCAACATTTTTGAACAAATAAATTATACAAATTTGCAGTGGAACGTTATTTATTTTACTTGTTAATCGATAAATGTTGAAATATATATATATATATATATATTAAAGTTTGTGGCATGGCTTTTAGATTAATTTACTTTTTTTAAATTTTTTTAATTTGCGTCGTCGTCAAATACCGCATAAAAATACAAAAAAAAAGGTTGTAACAATGTTGTTTATACGGTCGATAGCCGCACGGTTTAAGGCGTCAGTACTTAAATCGGTGTGTCGATCTGCCCGGGTTTCGAATCCCGTGGCCGGTAGACCGTAGATTAGCTATGCTTGTACAATGGATTGGCACCCTCTGTGCAGGTATAGTAGGGTGAAAGAATGTTGGCTTGGGTCAATGTGAGAGACCCCCCCTAATTAATGAGGTTTTCCAGGTTTCCCTCATTCCTGCACTGAATGGTGGTTAGGGCCTACCAACATAAGTCGTTCCTGGGCGTAAATGCGGCCTGCGTAATAATAATATGCCGCCTCCTCTCCCGCACAAGTCTCCGACTTCTGGGCTAATTCTCGTAGTTAGAATGAGGAGTAGAGATATTATTAATAACGTTTTTTATTTCTGCATATTTTATTTTATTAAAGTTAATTGTTAGTGCCCTTATATAGGTCGTACTTTTTTTAATTTTAGCACTACCCGAACACTAATCTCGCATTTAGTATTTGATTTTATCTACGCTTTTAACCTATACGTGCTTTTGCTTAACGATTAAGACAGGATTACTTTCTCGTTAACAAATTGCAGCGGCAATAGCCTACTTGGCTGTGATTTTATGAGTTTATGTTTTGTAACGGGCGAGCGAAAAGTGTTTTGTCTTCATTATGAATCGCAGACTTTGAAGATCTGCTGTTGCAAATGGGTAACACAAATATATGTCACATAATTAGAACTTCGTAGGGATAAAAATAAAATAACATAACGGAATTATTTTATAAAATACATTTACTTTTGTTTGTTTTATATTTTGTCACCTGTAAACCAAATTAAACTAATCGAGTTGACCTTTACTCAAAAATTTCCTGATACAAATAAGATATTTTAAAGCAAAAGAGTGAGAGAGGTAAAAGTTTTAAAATAAATAAGGCTATCTGATACGTATGTTTGAATATTCAATTTTTGTCAAATAAAAAAGTTAATATTTCAAATCCCTCCAAGGGGCAGAAATTCTCAAAAAATTGTTAAGTTACACATGTATTAGTAGAAAATTTGTGTAAAATTTGATTATTATACTTTTTTGGTTTTCAAATTGCAACCGATATTCCATATTTTTTTGATACTGAGAGGCTGTATCTAATACTTGTTCTCTATAGCTGGAAATTCACCGATACCATTCGTGTAATTTCTTTTGAAAACACCCTATAAATAAGATGATTAAATTAACTATTTGACGTCAAAACAGCCAATGATCTAGTGTGTAATATACTAATGCGTATTTTCTGTCTTTTTTGAGCGTGACTTTTGGTTAAGCAAAAATAATTTTATAAATATATAGCAAGGATTGATTTATTAATTTTTTTAAATTAATTAACAGACAGAAAAATAATTAAAATTACGTGACAAATAAATCATATCAGACAAACTATTTTTTCCCAAATAAAAAAAAATTATTTAAAATATAGCTGTACCCGCATTCTTTCTTTCAGAAAAATTTTCTTTCAGCTTCAGTTATTGTTATAAAATAAATCATCAATATTAGTCCAAGTAGGTACTTACTTAACTGATGTTAAATAATGAGTAAAATTAAACAGTATCACGTAGACCAAAAAACTTATTATTGCCAGATTCATTGCTTACAATTCAAAATTTAGGATATCTTTAAATCGGTGTTGATATTTTACGACTGCAAACTCACAAAAATTATTATTAGATTATTATTCTTTTCTCTCCCACCTATATTTGAACCTGTTAAATGATAACCTGCCTGTCTACAACAAACTAAAACTAAACAAGGTCTCCTTGAAATGTGATGTTATTGCAAATCGGGATTTTTCGAAAACGGGAACTTTGAAATTGCCTCCGTATATTATTTTATATCAGTATCAACATCTGTATGCAGAAACTATGAAATTATAATTATTAATTGCAAACTGAAGTTTAAATCTTCCAGGAGAGAAGCGACAGGAGAATACTACCGACGTTTTTTTTTTTCATTATTTTCCATTCGGGTTTTTTAGAGGACGTTTGGATAGAAACACCGTTCACTTTTTAAGAATTACTTGTTATAATTTATTAATTTCCTGCATTAAGGAATATTACTTCTTTAAACATAGAACGTAAATAGTAGTTGCTTAATTAAACTTATTAACATTCATCTCGATGCAAGAAAACATACAATAGAACTAAATTAAAAAACTGCATTAAATCAAGATTTTTTGTTAAATTAAATGACCTGTTTCATTGTAGATGTGGTTTCCATATATTGTGAGTTATCCCGTATATTAAAAAATTTCTAGGTGGAAAAGTGGAATTTTAATTCTAGCAAGACGTTGTCAGAGCAAGATATGTCGAGTCATATTGATATTTTAAAATATGCGACTGCTTATGAATATTACTGCATTTTTGAATTAGCGATAAATCAAATATTTCACAATTTTTGGCAAACTTTTGATTTCTAACGACAAACTAGATTATTTAAAAGCCTTACATAATTAGAAATCAAATTTAGAATTTTTTAATGTTATACTTAATATGTTTTTATGACTAAAAATGAATTATTAAATAAGTGTAGCTAATTAAAATTTTATACTTAACAAATATTGAGAAGGTTATATAACATTATTAAATAAATACCTTTAAAGATATTGTAAAAAATTTTGTTAAATTTGAGATGAATACTATTTTTCCTTAAATAAGAAGGAGGTAGTACATGCTGGGGAAATAAAAATGCTTTAGGATAACTGTAGTTTCTATTTTATTAAATAACTCGGGTAGTAAAATATTTTTTCATAATAAATAAAAGAGTGTCATTAGGTCTAAGCGAAAGTAAAAGACCTTCGAACATTAGTCATGTTGTAAAGACGCAATTTTTTTCAGGAATTCTATCTAAAACTGTTCATTGCGTCAATATTACAAAGAGATGTACCTATCAGCGACTTCTGGGAAACACTCTGATTTCTTATATTCTTACATTATAAATGTGAATAAAATGTAGAACTTATACTTAGCCGAGATATTACGTTTAGTCGGAAAAGAAATAAAATACAATAAGTAACGTATAGTCGTTGTATTATCTACAACTTTAAAATAACTGTAGATGTTTATTATTTTAAAATTCTTGCAGGTAATATTGGAATATTTTATATTACATCACAAGGTTAATTGCTTCTTCTGCATTCCAGAATTGTGCACAATATCTGGAAAAGAGAATTATAAAGAACCATCGTCATTAGAACCGTTGACTTTTACTTTTGTCACAATTCCCAGAAAAAAATTTCAATATTACATGTAAAACTTTGATTTTCTTTAATCGTTATATAGACAAATTTCGCTCTCAAATTGATTCTCATAATCTGAGTTCGTTGTGTCAATGCTAAAAATAAGACTTAATTAGAATACTAACTACCACGTTGTTTATGCAAAAATGTCTTTACAAGAAAATACCTGTAGTCTAAGTGAAACAGACACAATGATTAACAATTCTACCCACATTTCTTACCAGCATTAATTCTAATGTATTGCATACGAGGCTTCCTTTAAACGCTATTAAATAATATCCTCATCGTGTAGCATATGAATAGATTAATATTCAACGCATTAAATAACACACTATTTACGAAAAACAGAATAACCTGGTGTAATAAGCGGCATAAAGTACCATAACTAATCGAGTGACCTTTCCCAGAAGGCAACCAGGGTTAAGTTCTACGTTGAAATTACCAAATTCCAACAAAAACTTGACGTCATTTACACCTCACGGCAGAAGATGGGTCAAATGGCAGCGAAGAAGCTTTTAGATCACAATGCCAAAAAAATGCTCGCGTCGCGGTGGGGGTAAATGTCAACAAGAACATGCGGCCCGCAGAAGAATACCCCGGCTGTACAGGGACATATAAAAGCGAACATCTTCATCTCATATTCAGTTTACACTCGTGGTCAGTGAAAGAAAAATACAATTACAATGAAAGTGGTGAGTGACACAGCATGTGCATCAGCATGGATATTTAATTAACTAATTATATACTATAACGCTCGGTTTGATTCCTGATTCCTGAAAATTTTCATTATAATTTTCGATTTAACATAAAGAATTTAATTATTTTCTGGAAGCATTTTTGCAAGGGCAGGATTATCTCATTTTGCAATTTACTTTTGGCGGACTTGTCATGTTCGTGAATCGTTTCAGCTGGTTGATAATTAGACTTAACCTTTTTCCAGATCATTGCCTTCGCCGCCCTTGTGGCCGTAGCCCTAGCCGCCCCCCAGTCTAGCGACAAAGATGCAGTAGTAATCAGAAGTGATCTTGAGAACATTGGTGTCGACGGTTACAACTACGCGTAAGTTTTAACTCTCCTAACAGCCCTATCCGAACTAAATTAAATCTTGTTACAGATACGAAACCAGTAACGGCATCGCCGCCCAAGAAACAGGCCAAGTAATCAACTCCGGAGCTGAAAACGAAGCCGTAGTCGCCCGAGGACAATTTTCCTACACTGGCCCCGATGGTGTAGTCTACAATGTACAATATACCGCTGACGAAAATGGTTTCCAACCCGTTGGCGCCCACATTCCAGCGTAGGCGGTTTAGGATAGATAGAAAATGAAATGATAGGTTGCTGTTTTAGATTTTTTTTTTTTGTTAAAATGTAAAACAACATTCATCTTGTAAATATTAAAAAATTTAATAAACACAAAGAAAGAAAAAAGTTCTTGTCTGATTCTCTAACTAATTTACAAGTTATTGTGCAATAATATTCTGTGATGTTGGAATGTGACATTAAGCAGCGAAAGTTGTCTGCATCATAAATAATGGATAGGAATAACCTTAGACGTAAAGAAAATTACTCATACTTACCTGTTGGATGGTGAGAACGAAATGCCAAAAGTCCCCTATAATTTGCAGTAATACATAGTTGCGTCGTTTTCTTAAAGTTATGAGTAATAAAAGTAAAACAAGACGCATTATTTGTTCAGATGCTGTTTATTTTAAGAGTAGGAGGCTAATAGATTCCATTTATACAACCGTTATATAACAATTGTGATTTGGCGCCTTTTAGAGAAGTGACACACTGACACCGTAACACTTAGCATCCCATTCATATTGTAATAGCTTCATTATCATATTCAATGCTGATGATATATTGTTCTATTTATTAAAATACCTAAAAGGCACATAAATTGACTAAATAGAGGTGATACTCTGGTATAATTTTAACTGTACATGGTGGATAGGTCTCTGTTCGTCATTATTAATCATCTCGTACTGTGGGAAATACGATGTAGGTTAGATTAGAAAATAGTTTCCTCATCATTCTTCAGGGCAAATTAAAATTTTGTTTGTGTAGAATCAAAGAATGTAACTAACTAAATGTGAAAAAAGAAACTATACCTATATTTCTGCATACATTCAATAATACATTCCATAAGAAAAACAGGATAAACATTGTATTATCGAAAATACCAGCCCGCTTTAATTTTTTTTCTTTTTCCTTAGAATATTTCAGAAAGGCCGCCATTACTTTTAATTTGCATGTAGGCCAATCAATAAAGGTTTTGTTTGTGACAAAAATACTAGTTGCAAACGGACTATGCCATCATATAAAAGACAGTCTGCAGATATATGCTTATACAGGGTTCTTCACGGCAAGTGGCCTATTAAACGTTTCAGAGGAACCAAAGACAATATGAAATTTTGTTTACGGGGGTTATCAGATATGTTCTCTTCAATGAAAATAATGACAGCAACATAACACATACGGTTATACTGAAAGTAGCCGTCAACTTCGTTATTTTAAATGAGACACTCTATATATTATTGCATTATCGACAAGATAAATTAAAAATATGGCAAAATTGTTAAAGCTTTTCTGTACCTAAATCTAACCATTTTCTAGGTGATCGACATTTTATAAAAATGTTGACAGAAACAAGCGTTTCGAAAAAAATTCCTTATATTTTTCTTCATTCTGGTAGCTTTCACTTGCTTTTCCGAATACACGAAGAACATACTACCTTCCCCTATCAAAATTACCTGAAGAAAATTATACTAAGTGTCCCATTTGTCACGTTATATTTTGAAAACCGACAAAACTTTTTAAATTCAAATGGAACACCCTGTATCTTTCTGCATCATATTATAAAAAATCAAATTCTCGTTTCACCGATATAGGTATTGTAGTTTCAATTTTCTCACATTTGAAGTTTACTTATATTCTCAAGAATATTACGTTAAAAATATCATCAAATGTGCCTTGAATGGCAAATATTGGTACTGTAATTCAGTATTCTACCAGTATCAAGTATTTGTCGACAAGAAAAATGAAAAATAATTATTTTAATGAAGTTATTTTGATTTTTTTTTATATACATGGAACCATTCACCGTGAATCAAAATTATTAGCTGTATTTTTTTGATTCGATATTTTGCAACTGAAACAGAACAGTTAATGAAATGATTTCGCTTGGTTTTCTTAGAATTTTTCTCTAATTTTTTGTTCTCAAAAGTTTTTAAAGAATAGCAAAAACAATAAATAAGATAATTTCAAATAACTAATAAATGCACTATTATAATTTTTTGCTATTTGGAATGAAGTTGAGAGGATACTATAATTTAAAATTTAGTTACTTTACGTTTCATTGTTTTCTTAATGAAAGGTTGCTTATTTGCTCTTTATTGTACTTGCAGTTGCTAATAATAGTATCCCAATGGAAGGAAACCTTATTAGGTATTATTTTTGTGTAAATATACCCCCTCATTATTTCAAAGATGCAACAAACGTGAAACAACGCACTTTATTACTGATGTAATTATGAAAAAAAATCAATGTTGTACAAAGAACGCTATTGTATGTAGATTGCCGAGTTTCATTCGCATCCAATTCTTCAAATTTTGCAAAATACCAAATCATAGAAATACAGCTAATACTGATTCATGGTGAATGTCCGTCCCATGGATATAAAATAAATGCAAAATATCTTCATTACAATAATTGTTCTGCATTTTTATTGTCGAGAAAGTACACTTTTTATTGAGACGTATGATCCTTTAGTCAACATCACTTCAAATCGTTACATCTCAAATGAAGTCGATTTATAATATAGAATTGTTTTACGTGTACTGAAAATTTAAAATTTATGACGTGTCCATTATAGTTTAAAAATCTTTGGAAATGGCTGAATATGAAAAATTAGTCAATTACTGATCCTGCTGATTATAACTGGTCATTGACCCCAATAGGTTATATATATTTTTACAGCTTGAGCAGGACCTAATATTTTCAAAATTTTAGTAACATAAGCAGACTTAGCTATTTGGCAACTATAGTCACAATGCCTGTAATTAGCTAACATTTCTCTTTAGGAATTTTCAGTATTCTCTAGATCTTTAAATTAAAACAAAATTACAGAATAAATAAAATTTTAGGACTATAAATAAAATTATTTTATGTTGCAATTTAATGAAATTTTAAATCTAGGAGTATCAAGAGACGGCGATTAAAGTATGTATTTAGATTTTTAGTAAAAAAAAGTCTGTAAAGTCATTTCCTCAAAAATAGCACCAAGCTTTCGATTTCCATTGTAACCAGTCCAGCAAGTACATCCAGAAAGTTACTATGCATAGAAAAAGTTGTGTATCCTATATTATTTTTGAAATGTTATGGTTGCATTGAAAAAAAAAGTGTACCTATGCAGGATTTTGCTTATTGTCAATTGTAGAGAAATTATAGCTTAACTTCAGTTTTTGTTAGAAAATTCATGGAAATAAAAAGCTGATAATCTCTTCTGGAGCTGGAATTCATAACCTCAAATTCTTCTCTACTTTAACTAAATTGCTGTAACTTAAGCTAAGAGCCCTTGGTATACCTTTGAGTTTAAATGTTGGAAAAAGTATGTTATTCCGACCATAAAACTAACTTCAAATTTACAACCCATACTAAAATTGTAATAAGCCATCTGTAAACTGAATGCTTTTATACTTAACACAGGTCGGTAAACAAACATCTAATTTTGTCATTATTGCTTTTTTTTCATTTACTATAGATTGATATAACAGATAAAAGTAGGTATATATACATAATATGCCTAGTAATTTGGAAACTCTACCGATTTCAAGATATGATAATAACTGCCATTCTCTTTGCCATCAGTTTTTTAGTTACCCTTGACCTAATCAAATAAATTATTTACAGAAGAAAAAATATTTTTAATTTGATCAATTTTGATGATTTAATGTTATTGCTTTCGAAGTGATTTATGTGTCTGTAGAGAAATCGTCTCTATATATAAAAAAGTACGTAAATATTTAATTCAAAAAATAGGTAAAAGTAAATATAGCTTCCGAATTAGCAGAGGTAATCTACTGAGTTGTAATTGTATTTATCATAAAATAGAATCGAGTTTATAAAATTTTAAAGTTGATTGCAAGAATAATGTCAAGTGTCTGGTGCAGTACATATTCAGGGAAGCGAAGAAACCTTGATTGAAATTAATTTTGTTGCAATATAATAATTCTGATCAAATTATCTTAAATAGGTATACAGGGTGTTAAAAAATTCGTGGACAGGGACTGTGGGATCATATTAAGCTAGATAAGGTGATAAAAAAAATGTCTTTATGATTTTTCAATCAGACCAGTATTTTTCGAGATATAACAGTATCAAATATCCAATAATAATAATAGTATATTATGTTACTAGGAGTAGAAGGCGATCATTATGTGTTGAGCCCAAAAGTTTGCTCGCCGAGGCGTTAGCCGAGGCTGAGCAAATTGGGCAAAACACATAATGAGCCTTCCACTCCGAGTGACATATACTATTTTTTCTTCAAGNTAGCTTCCGAATTAGCAGAGGTAATCTACTGAGTTGTAATTGTATTTATCATAAAATAGAATCGAGTTTATAAAATTTTAAAGTTGATTGCAAGAATAATGTCAAGTGTCTGGTGCAGTACATATTCAGGGAAGCGAAGAAACCTTGATTGAAATTAATTTTGTTGCAATATAATAATTCTGATCAAATTATCTTAAATAGGTATACAGGGTGTTAAAAAATTCGTGGACACGGACTGTGAGATATATATTAAGCTAGATAAGGTGATAAAAAAGTGTCTCTATGATTTTTCAATCAGACCAGTATTTTTCGAGATATAACAGTATCAAATATCCAATAATAATAAAATATGTATGTACCTATATTTATAAATTTCAATTTTCAGTCAATAGATAAACAATTACGACAATTGAGTTACAACAATTGTTCAAAATTTCTACCACCTGCTGTTAAACATGCTTCAACACGTTGTGCTAGTGCTCGAACGGAGTTGCGTATCATATTTGGTGTTATTTGCTGTATTGATTGAAATAGGCAGTTTTGCAATTCATTCAAATGCCTTTGGTGTTCATTACACCAACGTTTTTAGGAAGCCCCAAAAGAAAAAAATCACAAGGCGTTAGGTCTGGAGAACGAGGTGGTCAAGCAAATAGACCGGCTCTGCCAAGCTAACGTCCAGGGAAAGTATTATTTAGGTAATCACAACGTGCTGAAGCATGTTTCACAGCAGACGATAGAAATTTTGAACAATTCATAATTGTTTATCAAATGACTAAAA